CAACCACAAAATGAAAGAAAACATCCATTTTCATTTTTTAAGTAGGAATGGAGTGAACAAAAGATCCATTCACATACAATAATGGTATCCTGAGGATGAACTCTATTTTACTGTTTATGCATGAATCCATGGATACTTGACTTTGATTGCTTCACTTGATTGCTGTCTTCCCTCCTAGGTCAAATTATCTTGAGAATGCCACTTGCAAAATGACAGGATTTAAGCATTATGTGATGATTTGAATCCATCTGTTATTCTTGGCCTGGAAAGCTTACTTACTTATAAATCTTGTCAACACACATGCCTATTTTTAGTGGAGCTCATTTTGCTGGATGGCTTTGATGTATTTTTTTTTTATTAATGGAAAAGATTTTCAAGGAGACTTGTCAAGTATGTGGAGGGTATTAAAGATATGGTATGGCTGTACAGCCAAGTTAATAAACAGAAATGCATTATATAAAATGCTAAAAGATAGAAGAGAAATCTAACCAAAATAAAGTTATTCTATCAAGAGCTTGAAATTTTAATGAGTTAGAACTAATCTATATTATTTATATTATATTATACAGCCACATTGTTGTCCACAAAGTGATCAACTCTATTGGCATTTCCTTCAAAAAAAAATCTTATGCTTTAGATTATTTGTAATAGAAATTTGGCCATTATTACAATAACCTTATATCATAGATGCACATTTTTCTTATGGATTTGAACTGCATATAATTTTAGAATGCTGGATCTGGAACTGTATTCTCAAAAGTAAGTAATCATAAAATGAGTGAGTTCAAACCAAAACTAATTTCACAAACATACACACACACACACACCCTTTTCAAAATCAATAATTCCCCTCAAGTTATATTATTCTCTCTTTTGAAATAAATTAATCTTCTTTTAAAATCACGTATTTAGTAAAACTGTACAGAATAAAGTTCCTACTCTGTGTTCTTACTCAACCAAGGAAAAAGGACACCAGTAGGTGAACAGATTCTTAAGTGGCTCAGTGGAAACTGCCTGGCAGAATAAACATAACAGTTTTTTTCTGACTGTGAAAGCTAGGATAATATTTGGTTGTGTAACTTTCTTGTTTCAGTCAGAAAGCAGACCAAGGACATGCAATGGAGGACACAGCAAATGAATGTGAAGTCTTAAAAGTCAGGACATACTGAAAAAGATAGCATGGTTCTTAAGATCTCTTTATTATTGTCATTTTTTGAACTTTATTATTACCATTTGTATTATCATGTTCACATTTCAATGAAATAATTTTCAGTCAATGATTGATTCTCAGGACCTAGGTGACACATGTGGAGATGTGGGGGCTGAGGCAGTTAGCAGCTCTAGTCCTTGAACACAGGGAGGCTGTGGTGACCCCATGGCAGAAAGACATACTTTGAAGAACTTTGCAGTGGGAAATCAGATTTGTTTTTCTATCAACAGCAGATTCACATGCCATATCAGATCAGGAAATCCCTTTGGTTTCAAAATAATTTGCTTTAAGATACTTGTACATGCTGGTGGTTGCAACTATAATTGGGAAAATGGTATTTAAAGACTTGTGATTAAAATGTAATCTATGATTTGGTCCTTATTAAAGTCTGAACTGGATGTTACACAATGTGTGAAATTACACCATTATGAGAAAACTAGAAGGCTGAACTTCCACTCTGAGTACGTTGTCTAATCCCACTGATTTCTACAACACGTTCAGAGAGCAAAGCAGGGGAAGTTCAGGTTTTTTGGGGGAAATTGTGCCCAAATGCAACCAGTTTGGGGAGAACAGAAAGGAAAGGAACAGTGTGTGTGTGTGTTGGATACATAAATGGTCCCTCCCCCTCCACAATTTCTCATGGAACATCACCAATTTCTTTCATAACCCTATGATTCCATGGAACAATCTAAAAAAACTAGATTAGAAACTCTCTCAGAGTAGTCTACTCTAATATTTAACAGTAAAGCAACTATTTTAGGGAGCATGTGTCGTGGACAAAAAGCAATGGCTCCTAGTTATTTATCTCTATAGAAAGCCAAGGTTGTGTTTATTGCTTGGCCTCCTAAAATTGTCAGCTGCATCAAGGACCCTAGAAAAGACCAGTTGGATTTTATATATGGTACAATAAGTAATACGTAGCAAAATACTTCAGATTGCCTTGCTTTTCTACTTTCCTCTGGCAAAGCAAAACCTGGTCTCTGGGAAACATCTGTTAATCTTGGTCTTGTTGTTGTATAACATGAGAATCAAATTTGAAATTTATATCTGGAATCAAATCTAGCCATTTACCATCCTGGATTTTTGATCAAGCATAGCTATTTCCTACAACAGCAATTTTGCATCCGCATATCCTCATGGGAACCACGTTGCAATACTGTCTGTAAGTTTCTAAAGCAAAAAATATCCAGTTTGCAAGACTTTAATGCTATCAGAAGTGGGGTACCATTGCAGGCCATGTATGTGGTACTCTGCACAGCATAACAGATCCCTCACAGATGAGATTTTTGACTGGAACTCCAGCTGCTTGTGATTATAAATGTTAAGTATTTCAGAGGCAGCCAAAAGATGTGTACTTTTGCCATCCTGCTGATGCAAATGGAGTTATGCTGTCACCTGAAATAGCTATAATTTGCTCCATTTTAAAACAACGGCATCTCCTGCCCATCCTCAGTCATCTATCTATTCACAACCCAGGTAGAGCTGAAACCGGTTTGACCTTCTCATTAAAATGAAAGGTGTTGATAAAGCACTGAAATCTACCATGACAGGAGGAAATGTTACCTTTGGAATTGCTGTGAAGCTGAATGATAGGAGATTTCAAATCACGAACATCTGCTGCAATTATTATTATCATTATTATTTTAAAACACTCACTTCTTTGCACAGCAGTCGCAATCAGGCCCTGTTCAGAACAGGTAGCACCATTATAGCTAAACAAGAGCTTTGATTAGAATGCCAAGTCTGTCATTCAGCCTCATTATGGATATAAATACAGGACTTCCATTCATAGTATATATACACCATTCTAATGGTGTTTTTTTAAGTGCACAGCACAAATATATTTTTGTGTTTATTTTACAGTTGGTCTTCACTCATATTTGATTGCTTTACTTCAGCAAGAAAAGCTACCTTTGTAGAAAAAAAAATCTTTCACAAGTTTTCTATTGCACAAACATTTTTGAGTGAAGGCAAAAACATTCCTTCCCATGTTTAAATGTCATTCTTTATAATATAATAGATCTCTAATTTTCCTTCTTCGTTCAAAACAGAGGAGTGAATAAAGGGACATACATAGTGTGCAAATTTAAAAAAAGGTTTTTTATTATCGAAAAGAATAAACTAAATGTTTTTTGTTCCAAAACTTGTGGATATAGCTGGCCCTAGTTTAATGACCACTTGTTTAGTGACCATTTGAAACTGTAATGGCGCTGAATGAGTGGTAGTTATAAATAATTCTCACACTTATGATGGCTATGGCAGCATTCCATGGTCATGTGATCCCCATTTGTGACCTTCACTTCCAGTTTCTGATAAGTAAAGTCAATGGAAAGCTGGCAGTAAGTTGCAAGTCACAGTCAGGTGAGGCCCCTCATTTAATAACCCACCTGATCCCTGCTTAATGACAGCAATTGGAACTGTTGTTGCCAAGTGGTGCAGTCAAATGGTTTTTCATCTTACAACTGTATCACTTAACAATGGAGTTTCCAGTCCCAATTAGCGGTGTTAAATGAGAAATTCCTGTACCACTACTGAACTGACGTAAGAATTTGTACATGCAAGAATGTTGTTGTAGGACATAGCATACTTGAGTGGTACTAAAAATTACATAGGTAAAATAGGAGAGGGAAAATAAGAATGCTAGTTTTGTGTATACCTTTCCTTAGCATTTTTATCTCCCTCATCATGTCCAGAATGAACTCTTGTCATGGAAGGAGTTTTATAGAAGATATTGTAGATTATATAGAACAGAATCCAGTTTCCCCAGCTGGAAGAAGCAAAGATGGTTTGCAAGATTAGAAAGGTATAAAGAAATGTTGTGAATAATGTGTAAACAAGATTTCCTGTTTTATCCCCTTTGTCTTGTCTATATAATTTATACTCTTTTTCAGGACTGGAAAGGAATAGGATGATGGGCATGTATGTATGTCAGTATATTTGAAATTCTGAAACATGCTATGAGTATTCACACAAACTATCTACCATAAATTGTGTGAACAATCATCTCAAAGGCAAATATTGAGAAGCAAAACAAGATGGCTGCTTCCTGCCATCCCCTCAAACTTTTCAGGATATCATCTGCCATCTCACATTATCCTTCTCTTTTTTTATGGGCAGGGCACAAAATATTTCAATATGGCATTACTAGGAAAACAGAGTATTTTGTGGATGGTACTTTAGTTTAGGGCATATATTTTCTCATTTTTTTATATTTAAAAAATCCAAAAGTTCAACTGGGCAAATAATCTCACTATCATCCAGAGAGAATACTGTGGTGACTAATGAGGCAAAATTTCTTCAGAGTAAATTAATATGAATTCTGAATATGCAGCACATTTTGCTCTGAATTAGCATATCCTTTTCAGTGTTGACTGAAGGAACTGACATTATAAGAAATGAACAAGATTTGGTTAAATGAAACAAGCAAAAAAGGTGGAGAATTCTACTGAAATTGCTATTTTTCTGCAATATGGAAAAACAATAATGACTGTGCTAATGATGTGAAGAGTCAATCTCCTTTTTAAAAAAGAAGTATACTATTTAATTCATCATTCTATCTGCTTGGCTGAATATACCAGCCAATGCTTGGCCAAGAGAATGTTAAAATAAAATAAAATATAGAATCATTAATGCAATAATACTTCTGTTATATGAGAGTTATATAGAAAGGAGCGTATCGTGATGCATCATTAAAGCTGGTTTCAAAGAATACCTAGGTAAAGTATCTGTTATACGGAGCTAAGCCATAAAACTGTGGTCACATTTCCACTTAAGTTGTCAACCAACATACCTGCCTCATCATAGGATACAGTCAATTTTTCCAGCATTTCTCGGTCAACTGAGAGAATTTGTTGCTCCAGGATGGTTTGATAGGATAATACACTGTTCTCCTTATCTTTCTCATAATCTTGAAGGTGTTGCTTTAGGACTTCTGGTAAACGGGACTTCACATATTCTGCTGCTGACTACAGAGAAGAATGAGGGGAGAAAGAAGAGAAAGAAACCAGAGTTGACTTTTGTGTGCTATATTACCTTTTGTGTCGTATATAGGTATACACAAAATAATAGATAGTTTTAATATTTTAGAGGACATGAAATACGAGAATTTAAAAACCACAACCTATATATCTATTTTTCTTTAATCACAGCCCATCTTAGGCATCCTCTTCAGGTTATTCTTGATTTCTTTCACCTGTCAGATTGAGAAATCAGATCCCCACAATGTCTAAAATATACTGAAGCAACTCCCAACATTGAAACTTTTCTATTTTATCAGCACAAAAGAGTTCCAGCAAAAACAGGCTATAGAAAATGTGGGTCTTTCTGGAAGAATGTCACAAAAAATGCCAAGTTACATCAAGAGAAGTGGACACAAGAAACATTTTCACTCAGATTTTTCAAATGAAAATGTGCACATCAGCACACACAAAAGAGAAAAGCATTCACAAAACTACATCTGTTCAGTGGAAAAAAGGACATGCAAATATCACAAAGGAAAACTGTACAAAAAATAAGAATATTTCATGTATCTTTTCCACATGGTTTATGAATTATGGAACCAAATTATTTACAACTTTTAAAGACAAAATCCATGAAAGGGAAACAGATAGAATCTGCCATTCCTCAACAGATTATGACAATTGGCCAACTGAGAGACATCCACAGCACCAAATCACTCCTGCTACCCAGAGGGGATCATGCCAATTTTAAAAAAAGTTATTTGATCTCCAGAAACTCCGGAAAAAGTATTTCAGGCTCATGGCAACTGTGCTGCTTATACTATTAGTCTAAATTCTCTGAGAAGACATGCTGCTATGGCAGATGGAAAGGGAAATAAAACACTGCAGGTGTCCAAGGCAACTTTTACTCTATATTTTTATTATATATTATAGTATTATAATATAAATGTTACCATGTTTACTATGTATTTTGCTGTATTCTTCCTAGCAATAGAAGACATTAGTTTAGTTAGTTTGCATTATAATTGTTGGCCACTGAAATAGCATTATGCTATGTTACTCTATTTTTACATTTATAATACTTTTTACATCTCTGGATCTGTTGTGAAGAATGGAAAATGGATCTATGTTTCCTGGTCAAGTCAGGTAGGTTCCTTGCCTACTTGTGATGAAGGCTATACTTCATAGTCAATGAACTGGTATGCTTCTAAAGCACTTACTTGGCAAGATAGTACTGTACCTCAAGGCATAAAACTGCTGCTGCCATATTGTACCTCTTGGCTGAAGTAATGGACCAGTTAAAAAGGTAGCCAATGAGAAATAATTCAATATAGCATTTAGATTAATTTCTCAATGTCCAAAATACATGAAATGTCATATATGAGATCTCACAAAAATTGTTTCCTGTAATCCAACTATAGCTAACTGAGTTAGCTCATGATATCACTAAAGCTGCATTCAATTTGTCTAGAGCTAGGCTAGGCTGTACATAACAAAATTATTTTCTGAAATACAATAGCCTGCAACATAACACAATAAATTTAATACTAGATTTTAAATAGTCATTTATTTCCAGCAGTGGAGGAAAGAAGATATACTACATAACCAGTTTTATGCGTACAGTTTTATAACATAGAGAGCCAGTTTGGTCTAGTGGTTAAGGAACCAGGCTAGAAAGCAGAAGACTGTAAATTCAAGTTCCCCTTAGCCATTAAATCCAACTGGGTGACCCAGGGCCAGTCCCTCTCTCTCAGCCCAACCCACCTCATAGAGTTGTGGGGAAAATAGGAGGAGGAAGACGTATTGTTTGCGTTCGCTGCCTAGAGTTATTTGTAAAAATAATAAAGGTGGGATACAAATAAGTAAATACGTAATAACAACCTTTACCAATCTGGTGTTCTCCATAGGTGTGGTGAACTAAATCCCCAGTTCACATCATTTCTTACATCTTCTGGGAAGCCACAAGATAATTTCTGGGTCTGTAACTTCTAAATTGTGGTCTATGGCCTATAAAATTCACAGTTACGCAAAGGTGAAAAGCCAGTTTGGTCTGGGGTTAAGGTACCACACTAGAAGTTAGAAGTTTATAAGTTCCATTCCCATCTGAGGCATTAAAGTCAGCTGGGTGACTTTGGGCCAGTCACTTTCTCTCAACATTTACAAAATGCTTGAGACTATGATATGTTATTATATATAAAAGCTTGGATCCAGGAGAGGTTTCTTCAATGGAAGAAATGCTGAACTATCTCCAACCTCTATAAAGTTTAAACATCTAAGCAATTAAAAAGGTCTTTCCTTAATGGAATTAAGATTGTGTGGGATTGATGAAATATTGTGCCAATGATACATCAAGACCTCAATCTATCAAAAGAGAGATATAGTTTGTTCAAGCCAAAAGGATGTCATTTACATCATTTATGCTATTTTTGTAATTATGTCTAGACTTGTTTGAATATTCTTGACTCTGTCTACTATTTGGAAAGGAGGCATAGGCACAAATTTTGTTCACTGCATTATAAGTCCATTTCATTAAGGTTTATTGAAGCAAGGCATTGCTGTAATAATAATATTCTTACTATTACCCTATGATTATGTTAGTATGGCACAGTATTAAAGAGAGCATTCTCCCCAAACCCATCAATAGAGGAATTAATAAGGGCTAGTTTCAACCCCAAATAGCTAGGCTTGTGCTAGTTTAAACTAATGTTCCTCAATCAGCTAGAAAATTAAGAGAGAGTTTATTTTCTCTTTCTGCTGCTGGAAATGATGGAGTGTTGTGAACAACCCTGCAAAAACAGAAAAAAAGAGGAATATATATATTTCCCTGACCTGTTTGTTAAAGCCATGAGCCTCTCAGTCACTTTTCTCATGGTTGAGTTTTCTAGTAAGATTTCTAGTAGGAGAACCAGTTTGCTCTACTGGTTAAGATACCAGACTAGAAAGCAGGAAATTGAGTTCTAGTCCTGCCTTAGGCATGAAAGCTGATTGGATGACCTTGGACCAATCACGCTCTCTCAGCCTAACCCACCTCCGAGAGTGGTGGTTGTTGAAAAAAATAGGAGGAAGGAGTATTAGTTATGTTTGCCACCCTGGATTGGAAGGAAGGACTTTTTGTATGCTTCTGGAGATATTTAAAACAGAAACATTGGGAATTTGATGAAAAACAAGAAAGACATATTGATGGAAAGAAAATAGCATTCTTAACATAGCAGCATGGCAGCAACATCTAAAAACTCAACAACAGTATTTAAATATTAATATTTGATCACTTCAAAGGAAGGAAATCACATAAATTAATTTCAATTAAGACATGTAAAGTTATCACTAGTTGCAAATAAAACTAAATACGATTGAAAATAGTTTTAGCAAAAAGGGGCGTATGGGATTTGTAAGATGTATGTATCAGATTCTAAATCTAATGAAACTGAGACTGCAACTTTTATTTGAAAAAGCAAAAGCAAGAGTGTTTCCAATTCCGTCTCATATATGGTTTTAAGCTGGCAGACTACATCATACTGATGAATGTCTGTTAATTTAATGGAAAACTATATAAAGATCCAATAGCCAATGTCTGCAACTCTATAAAGGCTGAAGTAAATCTATAATTTAGACAACTTTATATGCTACAGAGCTGTGAAAAGTTAGAGGTGTATTATGTATATATTTCTAAGTTCAGAATATTTAAGAGTTCTCCGGAATTTGCTAATGTCCTAAATTAAGCAAGGTCTGTCTAAAAATTCCAAAATGTTTTTTGGCACCTCTATGTCAAGACTTTAAATTCTTGGAGAATGCTTCACATTCCAGACAAGTTTGGCTAGGAATTTCTACTGTAAGTGGAATTTGCTAACAATTTAGACTATTTTTCTATAGCAAGTTGAGTAAAATATTAAGATTCAACTCCCAAATTATTCTTAGAAGTGGAGAGACTTGGCTGTGAGGCAAAATGTTCTTGGTAATTTAAATCCATAGTTAAATAAGATTACTATACCATATACTGAATAATTTATCCTGTAATATTAGAGATTAAAATTTGGTAAGCTTTTTGAAGGGGCTTTAGGGATTCTACCCAACACATATTTTAATCTCCTCTGGTCTAAATTATCATTTTAGCAGACACCCAGTGTGTTGTGTATGCGTGTTTTTATCTCTCTGGCTCTTTTATCAAGTTGTTTTATTGCATTAGAAGGCACAAATAATGTGTTATAGACCACTGGTAATAGTTGAGAATAAATTCCATCTCGTATAACTATCAAGACTGATGTCGATATTCATTAATGAACCATAACACCATCTTATAGGGTTTTAATCTAAACTTATTTCCTCCCAACCTGCAAGCATTAATTCAAGATTTCTACTGAGGCTCTGGGTTGGCCCAGCATATTGATGACATCTCATTTAAAACCTCCAGATGACCTTTCCTGGTGGTTTCATATAGACATCAAATAACAGGAGACAACCCTAAGTCTTAAGGGATTCCACATGGAGAACCCAAGGGATTAAAAACTTTCCCTACCATCACTGATTGGAACTAACTACTTAGAGTTTAGGTAAACTATAAACTCTTTAGGGGGGGGGGCAGTTGTGTATCCAGTAGCAGATGGCATTATACAAGTACACATACTTTCCCTCTCTTTCAATGGTTGTCAGGAAGAAATGTAAATAGGTACAAGGGAAATGAAATGCAGAATTTAGAAGGTGTTAATTATACCAGCACAGCATACTTAATTTAGCAGGGAGAAATTGACTAACAGCTGTAGTGTCCCTATTCAAATGGTAGGAGATAGAGTAGTAATGAATTACAGTTTATCTTTTTAGCATAAAAATCTAGTTTCTTAAGGCCCCTGTTCACAAATTGCAAACTTAAAGACAGGGCCAAACTTCTATTCATCCAATAAAACTGACTAGAGTTTTTGCAAATATTCTCTTCCAGAAATATCTGACATTCAGTCTGGAATTAATTTTCTACTTTTTAAAAAAATACGTATTCTCATTTAATAAGACTGTTG